ATGGCATGACAATAGATCAAATCCAACGACAAGTAGGATGGAAATCGGCAGCTGTGGCGACTGGTTACGTTGAAGAGAGCATTAGCAATAAGAAGATTGTTTCAAATATTATTGGAAGTGCTATTAATGGAAGTACAACTTCATTGACTTCCAAGAATGTTAGCAATCTTAATTTGAACAGTATTTCCTCCGATTTAAAAAAACGAAGTTTTAATATTTCAAACAATACTAGCTGTACTTTCCACATTTATTTAAACAATTAAGAATGTGAAAAAATATTTGAATAAATTTTTTGAAAAATTTCTCAAAAATATTTTATTTGACATTACAAGGCACTCCTGTCAGATCAATATTTAAAAAGTTGGCATTTAGACATCACGTTTCTCGTGTTGTTGATGTTGCCATGGTAACTTTAAAACGCGCGTTTTTTAAAGTTCGTTTTAAACCCGCTGAGGCGTACTTTAAATAAGTAAAATAGGGTACCAATAAAAAAATATATTATATTGTACATACTATTGTTTCTTTACACATTTCACTATATTTTTAAGTTTTTTTAATGCGAAAAAATATTAAAAATTGGTTTCATAAATTACTTCATGGAATATATCTAAAGGTCTAGTTTAACAATGTACACTCAAAGTCTTAAATTAAGGTCACCAGTGTGTAATTTTTATAATCTATATAAATCTAAGGAGTCCATTACAATGAATAAAGATGCCATGTAACATAAAAGTCCTGTTGTAAAATTACAATGGTCGAAAAAAATCATGATTCCTACACTTTTCTTATATCTGTATACAGATAGAAAAGTAAAAAGGAGAAACAGTGAGCTATTAAACTGAGAAAAAAATCGAAATGCCCTATCTCAGAAAATACAGACTGTAATTAAAAGTTAATATAATCTGTTCTTAGAAATATTTTAAAACTTGTCCATTGTTTTCGACTCGAGATATTTCTCAAACTATTGATGAATTCCAATATAATTTGGAAATTTATTAATAAAAATCATATTTAATCAATAAAAATCGTATTCGCATATCAAATTATATTTATTTTTCTTTAGTAAAATGTATAATAAAAATAGTCTAACCTTTTGCTAGTAACTACACGACTTTTCTTTCATAATTAGTTACGCAACACGTAAAAAATAATAAAAAATATATTATACTAAATTTTTACAATCAAAAGATCGAGTTAGACCCTGGCCGAATCACTTTATATTTGCTGATCCAAGCCACCGTTGTTTCCAGGTAAAGAGAGATATATTTTCACGAGTTCGAAATAAAAATATTATTGGAAAACAGTTTACCACAAAACTCAATTAGTTTTTGATTTTAGCAAAAATAGAAAAAAAATCAGCTATAAACTTCAGTTTTCCAAAAATTTATATCTGCAAATTGATAAATTTAATATTCATTTTTTAATTAATAGTCATATTTGCTAAAGGCAAGTTTGAAAATATCCTGTGTGATATAGTCCAAAGAGAACTAGAATGCACCAAAAGATGGTGCAAATAGGTGGGACTTAATATAAACCCTATCAAAACAACACTAGTAGCCTTTTAAAGAAAAATAAATATTATTCTTAAAACCGTCAAATTAGACGGGATAGATATAGAATGGAAAAAAGAAGTCAAAAATATAAGAAAGGGGATGTAACCCGACACACTGCGATGGATGTATACAACAATAGTGAGACCAATCATCACTTATAGAGCTGTAGCCTAGAGTAACAGAACTAATTTAGCTACTACGAGAGCTAATGTTTCAAAAGTACAAAGACAAGCCCAAGTTTGCAACACCGGTACAATAAGAACCTGTACTACGGTCACAATGGAGGTGATTGTAAACCTTGCCTCTCTACATTTATTGATATAAAACGAGGCAAAAAGAGGAAGATGTAGAAGGAGCAGGAAAGGAGTAATCAGACGAAAGTCTATTAGCATCAGGACCGAAGATACTTGGGATATGCTACAGGACGAAATGAGAAAGAAATACATTATTCTGAAAATTTAAAAACCACAGATCTGAGCTGCAAGAAAAAAATAGAGCCAAGAATTCATCGGGCTTGCAACCGAACGACATGCCATTCAGTGGTATACGAATGATTTCAGAACTATAGAAGTAACTGGAATTGGAGTGTATGGGCCTAGAACCAGGTACTCTGAAAGTTTGGGTAATTACCCAAACATCCTTCAGGTGGAAATTTACGCCATTAAGAGGTGTATCCAGACATGAGATTATTACATTTTTTACACCAATCTGCTACATCCCGTCGGCAATTGACCCAATAAAATCTTTCCCGAACTCGTGCCAGTGTCCTTTTAGTATCAAAGTGTCCTCCTGAACGGCTGCTATGAAGCTCCTCCAATACTTTTCTCACCTGTGACCTCGGCAGTATCACTTAGCGGACTACATGTACTCCATCGGCGCTCTCCCACTTCCGGTGCAATAGGCCATCGTGAAGATACAGGGAATCCCACTAGGTCCAGTAGCCTTTTATAGTTCTACTGTATTTGGCTATCTCTTGCCAAGTAGGTGTGACTTTATTTTTGAGCCATTGTCGGACAACCTTCAAGTCATTGTCTTTCTTCTGTTTCTTTCTAAGGCTTTCAAGGGATTTCTTCTTCGCCCTCTGTCTTGATGGTGATTGCCCGAAGTGCAACCTTATCAACCGATTCCTCTCGTTCTCCGTGCCCTTTATTGTACCGGCATTGTCGTTCTAAACAGGATCGACGGAAGAGAATGTCTGCGTTGCTAGGGAGACGGCCTCTTCGATGCTCTACTTCCTCTTTATTGCTAAAAAACCGGCTATGTGTGGGTGATTGGCTTTTCTGGGACTCATAGCTGCTGTAACTATTTCTTGTTAGACTTCGTGACGGGCTTTGGGAAATTGATATATGTGACTTTCTGACCTTATTCACTGATTCTTGATTTATAGAGCTAGCCTTGCTTCTACAGGTCCTTTGAAGGTGCCCGATTCTTCCACAATTAAAGCATCTCCTGCTTCTATCTTGGCTGTTTCGTTGCATATTTTGCAGAATATTTAATATTTGTGAGAGTGTAGGCTGAAGAATAGTATTAGTATTGGCTTTTTTACTTTCCTGGGTCTTAATTTCTCTCATGCTTGTGCGAGAAGATTTGGATAGGAATTTTATAGCTTCTTATTCCTGGGCTGCAATCAGTTTCTCCCTTAGCGTCTTGTGTAGACGAAGGGCTTGCTGCATTTCCACATCTTGTAGTCCATCAATGAATGCCTGTAATCCGATTTATTCTTGGAAATCTTTGGGCGCCTGTGGATAGGCCAGATGAATCAATCTTCTTGTGTCGGCTTCGAATTCCTGTAGACTCTCATTATGTTTCTGACTACGAACCTTTAGCTGGCTTTGAAATACCCTTTTCAAATGCTGCTGGCCATATCTTGCCTCCAGAACTTGAACGAGAGATGAATAACTGGGTTCTTCTTGGGGAGGTTACTATAAAACGGTTGCTGCCTGTCCTCGCAGCGACACTATCAATGAAGCCCCTTTCTCGGTCTAGCCATTGGCTCTAGCTGCAGCTTCAAATTGGAGTCGATACGTTTCCCATGTTGTCTGACCATCAAACGTGGGTGGCTTAATGGTCTGGCTAGTATGACTTTGTGAAACTGGGTTTTGGATATGGCTTGGTTCGGGTATAGATGAGGACGAGGTAGTGTTTTCAGTTTCTCTATTTCTTATCGAAGCTTGGCTACGAATTCTTCTTTCTAACTCATTTAGTTCAGTTCTAATTTGCCTTTCGAACTCTACTCTAGCCTTTTCCTGTTGCTTTAAATTCTAAATTAGTATTTAAATACTTTTGCTGCTGTTCTAAATTAGTTCTTAAATGCTTTTGTTGTTGCTCTAACAAATCTACTCTAATTTTAAGCTGACCAACCTCTTGATTAAAGGTTTCCTGAATTTGTAGCAAAGCATTTATAATTTCTACCTCAGTTTTTCTACTCCTCTCGTCCCTCTCTTTTTCTTCATCCATCCTGCGTCTTTCCTTCTCCTCTTCTCGCCTTTCCTTTTCCTCCACTTCTTCCTTTCTACGCCTTTCCTTTTCCTCTTCTCGCCTTTCCTTTTCCTCTTCTCGCTTTTCCTTTTCCTCTTCTTACCTTTCCTTTTCCTCCTCTTCTTCCTTCCTACGCCTTTCCTTTTCCTCCTCTTCTTTTTTCCTACGCCCTCTTTTTCCTCATCTTCTTCCTTCCTACGCTTTTCATTTTTCCCTTCCAACTTCAAAAACCATGCTGGTGGGCCTGAAGTATCCATGCCTGCTTGTTAAGTTTTATAAGTAGTTCTTTAAGTTCTTTCAAAATTGTTAACTAGAGATATATATATATATATATATATATATATATATATATATATATATATATATATATATATATAATATTCATAAATGACAATATATGAATTATATTTAATTCAAACCTAACTTTTTACTTTTTTTAATCATATGGACATAAAGTATTAGAACTTTTAAACAATGTATGGCCTTATACAGTACTTATTATTTTGTATTATGCATAGCCGTGCTTTTACAGCGAACATGTGGCAACTATAACCTATCTGCTAACGCTCTCTAGCTTTGTGCCTCACATTCGGTTCGTCTATAGATCAGGGGCGGCTTGTGACCAAAATTTTGGGGGTTCACAGTAGCAGTATATAGATCCCGTTACAGATATAAGTAAAAATCTGTCACTGTTTTAGAAAGGTATATTATAAACTTTCTAAAACACTGAAAATTTTTTTCATACATCTGTACTGATACCTATATTCTATCACTGTGAACCTCCCCATAAGCCGCCACTGCTATAGATAGTGGTTAAAAAATGAATACGGTTGACCATATTTTAAAAGAACTTTAAAAGAATTTGATAAACCAAAGTCGCGTGTTCATTTTAATATATTACCTACCTACTTAATAATTAATTTTATAGGTATAGTGACAAACAAAACAATTTTTTTTAATTGTACTCACCTGTTGCGTATCAAAACGATTATAGATATAGGTAAACTTACAATCTTCTATAAGTATAAAAGGTAACTTTTAACAAATTTGTTAATTTTCCCATCAGGTGAATATTATCACAAATATGCGCTTCTCCTACTCGTATTGCTTGGGAAACTGTGGCTGGTGTAACTACATCTACTCACTAACAACGTTGCCATACTTTAGACTCTACTTTTTGCTTTAGATTTTATCCCAAGGAAAACATGTGTAAAATTTAATTATTTTATAATCATTACATATTATTCACTTCATATCTTATCTACATAACATGGAGTGTAGGAACCTAAATTAGACCTTGGAAAAATTCTCGTACGGTGGAGCATTTAATTATTTCTCTTTTTAGTTTGGATTTAATTCACAGACATGGCTCGCATCTTTGCCTTTGTCGGTCATGGCCAGGGTCGTTGTAACCCTCTTGAGCGCCGGCGTCGTCGTGCAAATGTGATCATAGCGCCCTTTGCTAAATTAACGCATATATTTTTTATATTTTATATGTACAATCAACATTGTTATCGCTAATTAAGTAATACAATTGAAATACACAAATATAAATTTTATTACTTAAAATAAACAATTTGAACAAGAAATAAAGTTACCAAATCTTAAATAAAAACACAAAATAAAAATTGCTTTACGCCCTTTGTTTCTGGAAAATTCAGAAATAATATCAGTCATATTTATATTATCCAAAAAATCACTTTCTATCGATATGATTGCCAAAATTATCGAGCCGCTGCACATAGGGGTATTTGAACGATTTACGCGGCCAAAATTATTTTTTAGTCTATTTCGGTTCTAAACGATATTAATGAATAAAACAATGGTTTTAATGTTTAATTAACCTACATTTATTAATAAAAAATATAGATACACAGATTTATCTAACATTATTCGTATACATTTTCATTTCGCTTTCTGAAGAATTACCAGCTTCAAACGGCTTTGCAGACATTAGTAAATTAATTGTTTCTGGCAAAAAGACTTCATTTTTCTTCTTTTAACGTTTCTCATGCTACTTAAAAGGGGGTCTAAACTTAGAAGGAGGCGATTAAAAATATCCTGTTACAATTTGCTCTAGAGAATTTTCGCGCGAAGTCTTGGCGGTATGAGCGGAAATGCTTGTTATGTGCTTCCGTGGCTTCTTCAGACAGCTTCCCAATAGGCAACAATGCAATTTTTATTATAACTGCACCATGAATAAGTATTTTGTGCATCGTTGGTGTCATTGGGTGCAAAGGGTACAGCTGCACATATAAGCGAGCAGCATCTAATGCGTATTTGTTATATTTTTCCGGATCAATTATATGTCCGCTCGAAATCGTTTTTAGTATGAGCTTTAATTTATAAATTAGGTTATAACTGATGCCCGTTATTTCGGAAGCCACTTTCAGGTCTTCAAAAAATCTTCGGCTCGTGTTTCCATCATTTGTGTTTGCCAAAATTTGCCTTTGGTATAACCACCAACAAACCAGTTTCATTGCGAAATATTTTCTGTATTTCCAGTTTTCTTTCTTTTTCAATATTTTTTTCCGTTTCTATTTTTCTCTCCCTGTATTTTTTCACTGATAATTTATAAGCCAAGTGGTGAATGCTTTCAAAAAGACGAATTCTTGCATGTAGAACTGAACGGTCTAGGACAGCTCGCCGCCGTCGACTCGCCACCGTCATCTCGCCGCCGCCATCTCGCCGCGGGGACAACTCGCCATCGCCGACTTGCCGCCGGGATAACTCGCCGCCCGCTCCATAAAGTATTTAAAAAAATTCTCTCAAAACTTTATTCTATTGTTATGTTAAAATTGGTTTTAGATGTAAGTTTTTACGAAGATACAATTTAACAATTAATGGTAGCAATTAAGTAGCAATTGTTAATTTCTTTTAAATATTAACAAGATAAACAGGTAGAAAATTTTATAAAAGATAATTGATTTGAACTAGTGTCTTTTAAATGATACAATATCAAGCTTTCTTAATAACTAGGTTATTTATTGTATAATGTAGAAATGATACCATATTTAAACAGATAATTTGCTGTAATTGGATTTTGATTAGTTTTTACGAAGATAAAATTCATTTATGGTAGCAATTAAGTAGCAATTGTCAATTTCTTTTATATATATACAAGATAAACAGGTAGAAAATTTTAGTATTAGCAGATTTTTTGCATAGAAACATTGAACCATGGATGCAACAAATATAATATCGCAGCGCAACAATACTAAGTTCGCGAGTGGAGGTTTCATGTATGTGTTAGATAAGGTTTCGAAAGATGGTTATACGGAATTCTGGCGATGCGAACGAAGAGGACAGTGCAAAGGCAGAATTCATGTTCGAGAAGGAAATGTCGTTCATGTGGTTAATGACCACTCTCATGAGGCAAATGCAGCTAAAATCGAAGCTGATAATGTTGTGGGTAATATCAAGCGATGAGCTAGATCGACTTTAGAAAGCACGTCACAAGTAATCAATTGTTGTACCGAAAATTTGACACTCGCTTGCCAAGGTGCTTTACCTAAGCAAGATGCTCTGAAGAAAATTGTGAGAAGAGTACGCAACGAAGTTATCCCCGCACCGCCTAATCCAAGCGATTTAACAACGCTAGTAATCCCGGACTCATATAAAATTATTAAAATGGCTGGAGGGACTGACGAAAATTTTTTACTATTCGATAGTGGCCCAGAACATGATAGAATTTTAATTTTTGGTAAGGAAGAAAATTTGCGCACTTTTAAAGATTGCGAAAACTTTTTCATGGATGGCACTTTCAAAATATCGCCTCCCTTATTTTGCCAAGTGTTTGTCATACTCGTTAAGAAGCATGGTGGAGTACATCCAATGTTTTATGCATTACTACCCAACAAGCAGCGTGCTACATACGAAAAGCTATTTCGTGCGATTAAGAATCTACAACCCGAACTACAACCTAATTCAATTTCATGCGATTTTGCCTTAGCAAATGTACCACTTAAGACGATTTTATATTAGACCAATCGCTTTAGTTGTGCTATAAAGTGACTTGTTGACTTCATCTGTTGATATACAATGTGTGGAAAAAATTCTACTCTTAGACTATACGAATAAACTTATGGGAGCTTATGATGAATAATGACTAATAATGAAAAAATAGTATAATAAAATATTTTTACTTATGGCGATATATCAATAAATTTGAAAAAATGTGCTTCTTAAACTGTAATAGGGAATGACAATTTATGTATTTATTTATTTTAAATTAATTCTGATGCTTTGGTAGAATTCACTGTTGGGTACTAATTAACAGTGCTGTTCTTAAAGTGGCGCTGGGAAACAGTTACAACGCCCAAACAGAACACAAGGCGAAATGACCATCATAGTAGTTGAATCCGATGACCCACACAAAAAAAATTAATCCTTTAACTATTTATGTTTTTTAATATCTATTTGGAAAATAATGAAAAAATATTAATAATATAATAAAAATATTATTAATATAATAAAAATATCATTAATATAATAAAAATATTAATATAATAAAAATATTATTAATAATAGTAATAATAATCATCCCGAATAGAAAATAGCGGGTTTTGAAAGCTGTTAAAAGCCAATATAGCGGTCTCTATGTCTTGCAAAACCTGCTATATACAAAATACAGTTGCAAAACACGCTATATAGTAAATATAAACCTAAATAACTTAATTCGGCAATTTATAGGATTATACGCAACTATTCCTACGATTTAGAATAATTATTTTTAATTTTTTTCAATCATCAAAACATTTTCTGTGTCTTATTTTTATTTAGTAATAGGTTTTTCGTTATTATCCAAAATTCAGTTATGAAGCATATAGAGGGTTTTGCATATGGGCTACTCAATTATTAGTCAATATTCATTATAAGCTACTATTCCCCATCTTTATAGCGACTATTTCGTCGGTGGAAATTATTTCCGCGGCAAGATGACGGCGGCGAGTCGGCGGTGGCGAGTTGTCCCCGCAGCGAGATGGCGACGGCGAGATGACGGTGGCGAGTCGACGGCGGCGAGTTGTCCGATCCCGGAACTGAAAGCCCAAACTCTGTAGCTTCATGATTAATCTGATTTTTAAAATCTAATTGGTTGAAGTCTTTGGAGGTTGCACCACATATGTAACATCGGCTTGTGGATTTTGTACCAGTGGCAGCATTACAGACTTTTCCGTCTACCAATGTCATAATGAACACATGTTTAATCAAAAATTGTGTTCCATTTAAGTCCACCTCTGTTGCGTTTAGATTTAGATTTTTTCACAAAAGTTATTTCTTCTTCCATTATGTCAGTAGTCTCTTTAACGAATCGGAATCTTATAGGTCGACAATACCGTGGAGAAGAGGATGTTGGGTTTGTCCATACAATTTTTTCATCTTTACCACAAACCAATTGTAAAGGAACGAAACAGCTCTGAAATATGTTCGCGTCTGAGTCGGCATCATTTTTAAATTTTTGTTTGAACTGAGATTGCTGAGATCCATCGCAACCCCATTTACAAATTATCTTCAGGTTATTTTGTTCTTGTTCTTTAAATGATAGCAGGACCCCAGGAATATTGACAAGCACATAACTGTAAGGTCAACTAAAGGCTGTAAATTGTTCTTCGCACAGGTACTAGTTACACTTCATGATTCTGCAGGTGGATAGCACTCTTGTTTTACCTTTTGTAAAAGGCTATAACAAGGGAAGAATATTTTATTAGTATTTCTAATTATTTCATATTGCCGACGAGTTAAAACAGCTTCTACGAACATTGCTAATGCTTGTAATGGAGTAAGAGAGCAAGTTTTTTATATTTAGTTGCATGTGTTGGAACACTGGTGAGATCTTTGAGTACATCGGAAGCATCTCGTTTTCCAGCTTTCTGCAATTCTACTTGAGCAGCATGTATGATTACTTTTTTTATCTGAAGTAGATCGAATCTTCTCAGTTTTCCACCTTTTAGTTCGATTACTTGACTCTAGTTATATAAGAAGAAACGTCGAGTCTATTAAAATATAAAACCGTAAACGGCGCAAACTGTTAACTTTGCATTTATTATTATCATTAAAATTATATTATAAAAATTCATTCCAGCTTAGATAGTTGTAGAATAAAGTCATAAATAAAGTCTCTAATCTTCGAAAAGTAAATTTTTTGTTTTTTAAAAAATTATTTTCGAGTTAAATAAATTTAACTGGCGCAGTCGTAGTAGGATCGACACAGTAATTTCGCGAAAAGCCACGGCATCGGGTCCGATTTTCCGAAATTTACGTGAGTTTCAACTCTTTGGTGTCGAGAACTTTCCTGTGGGAATCTACCCTGGAGACGGAGGCCTGCTGAGCTGAAATCATCAGAAGAAGTTCAAGTAAGTACTGAGTACTCCTTTTATACTTCCTCTCATTTTACACTTAGTTTTTGCGAATTTTAGAATAGGTTAAGTGAATAAATAATTTTTTTTGATCGAAAGAAAATAAAAAAAATATATACTTAGATATAGATTTTTGTATGAACAATATAGATAATTTAATCGCAGATTTTAATAAAAAAATAAATATGGTGGATGAAAACCAATTAAATGCAAATCAAGCAAACGTAAATCAAATAAATGCAAATCAAGTAAATGTTGATATGTTAAAATTACATGTCGATACCATTCCCATGTTTGATGGGGATGAAAATAATTTAGCAAAATCGAAATAAATGTTACGGAACAAAACCAAATCCTTTCAGATAACGATACCGACTCATCAATGTTAGGGGAACCAGGTGATATTAACCAAATAACAAAAAACTTCCTAGAAAATCTAATAGAACCTATAGACGATGCAAACTATGAACTTGACGAATTATTAAGTACAATAAACTTGACAGACACAGACAGAGAGCAAGCGCGACAACACATAGGTACTAACGACGATCAAATAATAGTTACTCAACAAAATGAATTAGACAATCAAAATAACTCACCTGATGACGACATTGAAATAATTCATTCGTCAGCAGAAAACCCTATTCTAGAAATCCCATTTACCGAAAATCTAACAAATTCCTACAACAGACAAATAATAATTAAACAAGGGAAAACACATTTTCATGTTACCAATACGAAACATTTCGAAAATAAACTTCGCATCACGGCCTATCTCACCAACAACGAAATCAGTAGTCAGATAATTATTCTTTTCAAAAATTACATAGATCCAAAAAAAACTTTACTGCCTACATGTTCATAGCACAATCACCATCGATCTAATACCATTATTAATAACGACTTTACAAAACACTTTCAAATATCATAGTTACAATCTAGTTATATCAAGAAAATTCGTAACAGATGTACAAGAAGTGGACGAACGCGAAAATTTAATTAAATATCATCATGAAACCAAAACTTGCCACCGCGGAATTAACGAAACAGAAACTGCTTTGAGAAAAAAATACTATTGGCCAGACTTAAATTCAGATATCACACGGTATATAAATCTTTGCGACATATGTAATCAAGCGAAATATGACAGACACCCTCCAAAAGTTAAATTTTCACTCACAGTTACCCCCACAAAACCCTCGAAACTATTCATATAGACGTTTTCCAAATTATGAAAACTAAATTTCTTACAATCCTCGACTCATTCTCAAAATACGGGCAGGCGTATGTTATCGAGCCAATCCTAAATTCTGCAACGATTATTGAATGTTTAAGTATCTTTGTATCACACTTCCATATTCAATCGTAAGCGATAGTGGAACAGAATTTAAAAGCGAATTACTACAGGAATTTTGCAAATTACATAAAATCAGAATCCATTTTACGACACCCCAAAATTCAAACAGTAACAGTCCGGTGGAACGATTTCATTCATCCCTCTTAGAAAACTGTAGAGTTTTAAAACTGCAACACCCTAATATGCATATAAAACAAATTGTACAGTTCGGTGTCATAGGTTACAATTCCTCGATACATAGCGTGACTGGACATCGACTATACGACATTATTCTAGGCAATACAAAAGCTCTTGACCCATTTGACTTAACAGACGAATATCTCATTAACGAATATATAAACGAAAGAAAAATTCGACTAAAAACACTTTATCAGCATATTTTCGACAAAACGGTGCAAGAAAAGGAAAAGGTCATCGGAAATCGCAACGAAACTCGAGAAAATCCAACGCTATATACTGAAGGACAAGAAATATTTGTAAAAAATAGAGAAGCTACCAGAAATAAATCAAAGCCTCGTTTCGTAAAACATTCAGTAAACAAAGACCTTGGAAATAAAATATTAATAACAAAAAACAGAACTATACACAAATCAAAGGTCAAAAAACCATATGCTAATATTATACTTTCTTTACAGAACGATCGAAATGTGGACGATAATACCCCTGATCCTCAGCCTTCCACTTCCGGTTGTAATAAAAAGTAGCGATGTAGAAATATTAGAATTAAATACCCCTTTATTACCCTTAGATATAGGAAAAACAAAATTAATACAAACAAAACATACATTTTTTCATTACATTGAAACGGACTTATTAGTAACTCAATTGCGAAATATAGAACGTTTTTACGATAGGTTAGAATTCTCATTAAATTTTACAAAGTTCGAAGATGTGGGACTTGTAATAAATTTGTTCGAACACGCAAAATATTTGCTAAATACTACAAGATTAAAATTAAATAATTTTGTAACTTTCGAAAATAAAAATAATAATAATATTAGAAATAAAAGAGGCTTATTTGACAGAATCGGAACAGCCAGTAAATGGTTTTTTAGAACTCTGGACCATGAAGACGAAATTAAATATAACTCTCAAATTCAAAACTTGATTAAAAATCAAAACTCATTTTCACATCAATTATAACTACAATCCTCTCTCAACACCCAGCTCATTAACCATTATAATCAGACAATAAATAACCTTTACAAAAACCAGTTACAAGAGAGACTTAATGATATTTGCAACAAATCAAAAAATTTTACCGATCAAATGTTCATGTATATACGGTTACCCAATGCTCTGGATCAAATAATTTTGAATTGCCAAAATTTAATAAATTTCGTAGATAACTTGGAAAATGCTATTATATTTGCCCATTTAGGTAGCTTACACACTTCAATAATTCCTTTAAAACAATTGACAAATTTGATAGAACATGTTTCAATAATTCACGGCGAAACAAAAGTCATTAAATTTAAAAATCCATACAATTATTTCCAATTAGCAGGAATACAAGTAAAATTCGAAAAATCAAAAATAATATTTGCTATTCACATTCCTATTCTAATTAACAGCGATTTCTTAATCTATCACATTATTCCTTTGCCCTATGAAAATTCCATAATCATAACACCCAGTCCCTTCCTCGTACTCAGTACCGAACTCCATCAATATGAAGATAAATCTTGCCCACAAATCGAGGGAATCTTTTTCTGCGAACACCATGAAGATGTCACAAACCACACCTGTGCCATAGCCCTGATTCGAGCCGAAAAATCAGTCTGCAAAGTCGGAAAAATAGTTCTATATCACCCCATAATAGAACAAATCAACAATAAATTCCTACTAGTACTACCTACCAAAATTCCCGTAAAAGTCTGGATAAACTGCGAGAGAAAGAAAATAGCCATAATCAACGTCAATACAATTATCAAAATTCCCAAGGGATGTAGTATTAAAATAGAAAATTCCCTATATGAAAACACAGAAGAAAATGTAATTGGAAACCCTCTAATATTGCCAAAAATGGAATGGAGTCCATCAAAATCAAATTCAATTTACCAAAACCTTCCTCTGAAATTACATTCAATAAACTTCAAAGCCATCCAAGAACTACAGAAGATAGCAAAATCCACCCTAATTCCACAAGAAATCCACCCCATAATTTGGAATGTGCCCAGCCTAACGATAGTAATTGCCTTGGTATCTACTATTATCTACGTATGGTACCGAAAGAAGAAATCCAAAAATCACCAAAATCTCTCGGAAGAAAACCACCAACCCGAAAACAACCCCATATCAGTATTGTTTTCGCCTAAGGAGGGAGGAGTTATATAAGAAGAAACGTCGAGTCTATTAAAATATAAAACCGTAAACGGCGCAAACTGTTAACTTTGCATTTATTATTATCATTAAAATTATATTATAAAAATTCATTCCAGCTTAGATAGTTGTAGAATAAAGTCATAAATAAAGTCTCTAATCTTCGAAAAGTAAATTTTTTGTTTTTTTAAAAAATTATTTTCGAGTTAAATAAATTTAACTCTCTCCAAATGACTTACGTGGCCGGCCTGGCCGATTTTGTGTAACCACGGGAATCTCAAAAGTTTCGTTTAGCCATGCATCATTATAATTGTAAAATACGTCTTCCTTTTTATGTGCTTTCAACCACCATTCTGTTACAATCAGATTTTGCAATTTTTTTCATTACGTCACTTTATTAAACATTTTCGTTTATTTTCATTTCTCTGAAATAAGAAATAATATTTACTGGAGACATTTTTTAATATTTCATCTCTTTATTGCTTTTGTTTTTTGACTGTAGAGTAATGTAATGAATTTCTTGTTTAATTCAAATCTATTC